GATCTACCATTTGATCCAGCAATTCCACTACTGGGCATCTACCCAAAAGATCAAAAGTCACTCTACGAAAAAGACATCTGCACTCAAATGTTTATAGCAGCACAATTCACAATTGCAAAGTTGTGGACAAACCCAAGTGCGCCATCAATACATGAGTGGATTAAAAATGTGGTATATGTATACCATGGAGTAGCTATTCAGGCTTAAGAAACAATGGTGATCTAGCACGTCTTGGATTTTTCCGTGGATAGACGCTGGAACCGCATTATACTAAGTGAAAGTATCAAGAATGGAAAACAAGCACCTCATGTATCACCGCAAATTGGTATTAACAGATCAATCCCTAAGTGGACATATAAGAATAACATTTATTGGGTGTCGGGCAGGTAGGGGGGGAGAAGGGGATGGGTATATACAAACATAATGAATGAGATGTGCAACGTTTGGGGGATGTACGGCTTTGAAGCTCTGATCATGGGGGAGGGGAGAGCATGGGCAATATATAAACCTTAACATTTGGTACTCATAAAATTGCTGAAATAAAAAAAAAAGACTGTCTCAAAAAGAAATAAAAAGACGAAAACACATTTTCTTAAAAAGAAAATCTTCAGGAAAGCCTGAAAAGCTTGGTTAGCCATCAAATGTTTTGTAGAACTTAAGATACGCCAATTATGGTGACAGTAGTTTATCATTCAGGTAGCATCTAGTTTGTTGTGAAAATTAGCATTAGAAACCAGTGATTTTAATCACTTGTTGTAAATAAATACAATACAAGTTACATTCGTGGTTTTAGAGGTGGTACCAACCGTTACCTGACTATCTAGTTGCCAGAACATTTTCATGCACACGCCCCGCCCCAGCTCACGGCCACTTGAGAAATGCTACAGCCACTTTCGTTTTTTTTTTTTTTTTTTTTTTGGGAGCAGAGTCTCAACTGGCTTGTTGCCTGGGCTAGGTGCGTGGCCATGGCGTGCACCTAGGCTCACCGCAACCTCAAACTCCTGGGCTCAAGGGCAATCTCATGCCTCAGCCTCGCCGAGTAGCTGGGACTAACAGGCATGCACGCAGCCATCGCCCATAAGCCACTTTCTGATTTCTTGTGAATGTTGCTTATTCTGGATATTTCATATACATGGCATCATATAAAGTGCGGCGCTTTTGTGCCTGGCCTTTCATTCATGTAAGGTTTTTTTTCCAAAGTTCATCATGGTTGTAGCATGTATCAGACTTTGTTTCTTTTTAAGACATATAATTCTGTTGTGTGAAATAACGAACCCAATTGTGTTTACGGCCATTCATCAGCTGATGGGCATTGGGTGTTTCTGCGCCTTTTGCTTTTCATGAATTGTGCTGCTTCTGAACACTTGTGTAGCAGGATTTTGTGTTGGATGTATGTTTTTATTGTGCTCTTGGGTATAATAACCGCTGCTGGGGTGCATGTGGCAAGCATATGTTCAAACTTCTGAAGAAACTGCCAGACTGGTTTCCAAAGTGGCTGCGCTATTTTATAATATACGTTACCCCACAAGTACTTGAGGGCCGCCTAGTTCGTTCAGCGCGGCTATGTGGGTGTGCTCGCACACACATGCGCAGACACACGTGCACACTCCCTGTGGCTGAGGCCTGGGAGAGCAGTGGAAACAGCTTTGAAGGAACACCAAGAACATAAGGAGAGGGAAAACCAAACCAACAGCAGCATCATCCCCAGCCTCTGTCTAGAAAGCCTCGGCCAGACATGAGCTAAGAAAGAACACATCTGCTCATCAGCCAGCTCTGGGCATTTGTGAGGTTAGAAAACCAGCCGCCAACCAAACCACAGGCTGCTCCAGCTGGCATCTTTTCGGCTGGCCCCGACCTCCCTCTTGGCCCAGTTGGTCTCCATGTATAGGCTATCACTGGCCCTTCCTTTCGATGGTGTTGGTGGAGCTGAGCCAGCTTTTGCAGACAACTATGGTCCCAGTAGTGTCGGGAGATGCACGAAGTGGCCATCCTGCCTCCCAGAAGGGGACATCACAGGTTACCACTCAGTTCTCCACTTGCCAGTCGCCATTTATGGTAAGGACCCACTTTGGCAGCTTGCTAAATCACACATAATCTCTTCTTATTTCCTACTTTCTTTCATATAAACCTTATAGTTGGAGACTCTGCAACATTAGAATACCTCCTTCCTGTGCCAGAAAATCCATAACTCCTGTTTTTTTCAAACTAAAACAAAAGATCATTTTCTCATGAGTTCTGGCTCCACAATTGGCCCTAAGGACACTTGTGGTCTCTAGCCAGCCGTGGAGTCTCTCGGGCACAGCGGGTCAGGGGCTCTCCCAGAGACGCCCACCTCTGGCCAGCCTGTGTGCACTCAGCGCCAGGACTGGATGCCTGGCATACCTGCACCCACACACAGCGTTGGCTACATTAATAGGCTTCCCTAGGTCTGCCCACAGACTGCCAGGCATCCGTCCCCTCTAGCTGGAACTCCGCAGCAACTGAGGTTTAGAACTGGGGACAGGCCTGGGGCACAGAAGATTTGCATTCTGGTTCCATTTCTGCCAGACCAAGTTTGTCATGCTAATTAAGTCACTTCATCCACCCAGCCTACAATGTCCATACTATTATTAGCTACTGTTATTATTATCAACAATGGCAATAACAACAGCAGTAACCATCATCCATTTACTGAGCACTCACTATGTACCACACTCTTTATATCCAAAGTCTAATTCTCCCTGCAACCATGTGAAATCGGTATTATTGCCCTTATGTTTTTAAATAAGGACTGTGAAGCTCGAAAATGTTAAACAACCTCTCCAGGTCACCCGAAATACTCAGGTTGTAGAGATCACAAATAAAAGTTCACATTTGTCCACCCACACTGTTTGAATCAGATTCTTTGGTTCATTCAGCAAATTTTTACGGAGCACCTGATTATATGTCATACACTGCTCTAGATTCCCTTATGCTCTAGTTGGGGAGCAGGAACCGAGGAAACTAAGAAGCAAAAATACAAGATTAAAGAAATGAGTAAAAAT